AATAGAGTTACCTTCCTTGTCCTTGTCTTCTTAGGCCTCGGCTCACTCATTTCTAGGTTTGCTATTTCAGCTTTCTTCAGATCATTGTCATGGTCCCTCCTTGCTCGTCCTGCCACTTGATCCCATATTACATATGATACTGGACCCGTCTGCTCTACTATCCGGTAGTATGGTTCCCATCTCTGGTCCAGCTTTCCTTCTCTCTGGTGAATTTTATAGTAGACAGGGTCTCCAACCTTCAGTTCTAGTACCTTTCTTTCAGCATTCACTCTCTCATTTCTTCTCTTCTGGGCCCTCTTTATTCTTCTTCTGGCCTGTACAAATATTTTATGTTGTTGTTCCAGCAACAGCTGATGATGATCTACCTGCCCTCTACTCAAGTGACTCCCCTGGCCACATGTCCGACATTTTACGTTCCTATTTTTTAACTGGGCCACCCTCCCTCTTAATTCCGGGGTGGCCCGTTGGCTTTTCCCTGGTACTGTCTTTCGGGCACAGCCTTCTTTAACAATATCGGTAGGGCATCTTTTTTTTTATCCCACTCCACTTGGCTAGGTGTCCCTTCTTCCCACACCTAGTACATTTATCTTGCTCAAAGTCTGGGGGCAATCCCCACTTCGTCGGTCAGCCCGCTGCTCTGTGGTCCCCATACCCACAGGTCCAGCAAACCAGCCAATATCGACCCGGCGTAGGCTTATAAAACCCATTCCTTGTCGACCAAGCCTTTCTTTTGGGATCCTCTTCCCACATCTCAGGCTCCTCCACCTCTAGCTTGACCTTCCGATTCCACGCGGGGGCTCTCCCTCCTTCCCCCTTTCTTCCTACCTCCCGACTTTGCTCTTGTGCCTTCCTACCTTTCGTTACCTCTTCCCATGCTCCCTGGCCTCTTTGGCCAGCGCCACCGCCGCCGACAACTTTAGAGGTCCTTCTTTTAGCACATCATGGCGAATACGCTGTCCCTGAGCGCTCCCACATACAGATCGGCCAACTGGGCCTGCATCACTTCATTATTTCTCACTACCTCTGGGAAAGCCAATGACGGCAGCTTCTCCGCTCGGACCCCCATTTCTCCAGGGGTTTCGTCCCTCAGTTGCGTCATCTACTGGAGGGCTCTCATGGCCTCTATCGCTGTGCCTTCGTCAGCGAACTCCTGAGTCAATAATACTTCCAGTCTTTTCCATGTCGTGAGGCTCACTGGCTAAGGGTCCCTTTATGAACTCGGACGCTTTCCCCCTGGTGGCATCATACGCCAAGTATAGGGTTTCTCGGTCCGAGAGTCCATATATCACGCGGCCCTTACCTAGAATTGCCAGCCAATCCTTAAAACTCCCTGAGCTACCGTCAAAGGCCGGAACCCTCGGTCCGCCCAACAATTTTCTTAGCTCCACCGACAATTCCTGCTCGACTCCCACTTCCTCCATGTCTAGCCAATCTGAATCGTGGTCAGACATATTTAAACTACTTCACAAGAAAAAAGAAACACAATCAGAGCAGCAACAATCGAAATTGGGAGATTAACCGAAAAAAGTGTCCTACCTGACAGACGATTTCCAGCTCGTTCTTCTCAGTTTCCGGGCTGTTGTACTAGAAGGTCTTGAATCGTATGGTTATAATTAACCAAAGTCCTTTGGTTCCCACTCTAGTCTGTTTCCTGTTTGTCTACTTGAGACGCCGCGCGTTGTCCTGGTCGAAATTTTCCGCAACTCCTGTGGCAGTGATTAGTTCAGGGTCGAACCCGGTGGTCACAGCACCAATATGTGACACGCACCGGTGGTCGTGGTCGCGGTCGTGGTCGTGGTCGCAGCGCCAGACCAATATGGGACGTCCACTAGTCGCAACGTCAATATATGACACTGCGCAGTCGGCCCGTAGTCAACTCCCAGTTGCGGCGCGAAGCCGTAAGGTTTCTTCCACGCGCGTTTTGTGGTTGACTCCTTGTCGCTGCCACCAGCCCGTGTCCCGGTCGATCTGGTCGTTTCCGGTTCGATACCAGCATTGTCGTTCTCAGCTCGCCTCCAAAGCTTGGTCACCGAAGTAACTGCTTTGATCTCAAGTCTAACCTACCCACGTTGTGACTTTGATCTTAGGTAAACGAAATCAATCAGTCGTCGGGCCGTAGTTCAAGCTGAATCCGGGGTAAAGGTGACACCGCACAAGCGTAAGTAAATGAAAAATAATAAAACAAACTCACGAGGTTCAAATATGTTGAGAAATAGCAATTATCTTTATCTATCTGTTGAATACAGGAGTGTGTTTCTCCCCCGGCCCGTTTCTATGGATTCGTGACACTTTTTGCATTTCTTAAGCGAGTTATTGTATCTTAAGCCGTTCGTCAATAAAAACTTGAAAAAAAAGTCGAAAAGGCGTGAAAATCTTTCAGTCAGCTCCGGCGAGGCTGGTCTCCAACTGAAACTCCGAACTCTCTTGAAACACTGCCGAAAAAAACTCTCTGACTGCCTCAAGACGGTCGTTTATATGGACACCAACCAACTCCATTTCGGTGGTTTTCTCCCTCGTCCATGAGGAGAGGTCGGAGGGGAATTATTCTCCTAGACTCTTCCTTTCTCATATTGGTATCTCATACCAATCCTCTTAGTGGGTGTCAACAACTTTCCAGCCTTTCTCATACATTCACCTTCGCCTATCACTCACGCCACCACTTGGCCAATGATCGCTCGGTAGCGTGGGTATGGCTAAACCAGGCCTTAGTAAAATTATCGTCCCCCCAAAATTCTCTTTTCTTTTCTTCTTTTCTATCGGTCAGAATTCTTATCAATCCCATGTGGCCATAATTAGATTTTTATCCTGAGCGACCCAAAATCCACTTAGCATAATCTCTACCGACTCATTAATCACTGCTAGTCAACTTTTTAACAGGGTGGTCGTGTTCCATCTGAAAATCAAATTCTTCATTTTTCTCGTATCTTAAAATTTTCGTATCACCAGATGCCCACTTTCGGCAACATTAAGTCTGTCGTCAACAGTTTGAATAAGCAATAACAATGATCATATCAAGACCTGTATACATAACGGCTAGCTTTCTTCGTCGGAATCCAATGTTGCTCGGTCTGTCTTTCGATATAGCTCTTTCTCGCCTTAAGTATTTCTCGTTTTTAATTTCTATGCTTAATTAGTTAGCCAATTACCATAGCTAAATAGTGTCACACTAAGTATATCATGGACCAAGCATGCGAGCAACGATGAAGTCTTAGAGAGGATGCAAATAAGGTGGAGGCTTATAGTTAACAACAAGAAGAGTCAGCTGAAGTTTCTGGGACACATAATGAGGAAGGAGGGCTTAGAGAATCTGATACTCACGGGTCAAATAGAATGAAAGAGTGGCAGGAGAAAACAGCGCGTGACATAACTGGCGGGCTTCGGCAGGTGAATGACAGAACGTGGTTAGGGTGAGATTTCAGAGGGAAGGAACTTGTTGAGAGCTGCAAGGAATAGAGGGAGGTGGAGGTCCATGATCCCCTACGTCCTGAAAGGACATGGCACAACATTCGCTGCCGTAAAGAAGGACAGATTTCAAGTAACAGCTCATTATTCTTTTCTTTGTTACCAAAGAAATCCTCCTCTCTCAAAATACTCTGCCCAGCTTTTGGAATGCGTCCTTGGCCATCCCAATATGTCTACGGATCTCAGTGTCGCACTTAGGAACACTCTGAGTCAATGGCCGGCTAACTCGAAGTGGTGTTTCCATAAAACACCGTGGAGAAGGCAAAGAGAAACCAATTCACTACAAATCCCAAGAAAAATCATGGTCAGCATCTCAAGCAAAAACGCATTGGAGTACCGAAAGATCGCTTCCATGTTAAAAAAATTGATTGATCGATTTTTTTACGGAGTATCAACAAATTGTGGGTTATTTAAAGCCGAAACATATTGGCAAAAATAATTTTTCGAGTGAATAATGCCTTAACGATTTCTTCAGAATAGCACTGATTTCTCCAGATATGCGTTTTACTATTTAACCAACAGCCGAGGGGAAAATGTTAATTCTTAACTTTGCTTAGAGTATTTGCACGAATTAAGTGAATGTAAAGAACCTGACTGGAAAACCAAGTAATAAGAATCAGGAACACCATAACAGAGTAAAATTCATCACAAAAACACGATTCGATTTCTGCACTGGTATCTGTTGGAGACATGTCAATTCCTGGATGTATAAAGCCGGAAAACAATATTTTACCTATTTGTGATGACCTCTTTTAATTGACGATTGTTTTCCTGTTTTGTTTTGTATCTGTCTATATTTCTGAGATGAGGTATTATGTACACTATATACATTATTCGGACGATTATCCTCATCTTTGTCGCCATATTTATTACAACGTTTTGGCCGTTGTACGCTCCGTGGTTGAAATGTCGAACTGAACCCTTTATTTCGCTCACTGGGGTAGATTTTTTTCTAGTTCCATGTGCCATGTTTAAAGGATGTCAGTTATCAGTTGACTCCTGTTAATTTCCCTCTGAAAGTTCTCCACTTCCTTAGCCGGGTATTGAACTCACACTCTTTGGGTCCTGTCACTGGATCTTATCCACTGTGCCATGTGTCCTTGATGACATCTGTGTATTAATTTCTGGTTATTATAAACTTAATGTCTTCAGCAATCATTTTTTACCAGTGCTCATATTGCAATTTTTGCTGTTATCATTGTATGTTTTTACTAGAACTCATATTGCAATTTTTGTTGTTATTATAGCTTTTCTCTAGCACTCCTTATTACAGGTTTCCGTATTGTGTTCATTTCTATGCTTGGTCGGCTCAGGAGATTTTTGTGGCTTAGCATATGTGCTGACTCCTTAAGTTTACGAATTTTCCGATGGTGTTCTTTGTCTATAAATAAAGGGCTCAGTTCGACATTCCAACCACCTGGAGAAGGCTGGAGTGTACAACGGCCGAAACGTTGTAATAAATATGGCGACAAAGATGAGGACAATAGTTCGAATAAAGCAAATACTGTTTTGTTTTTTTTGTTTTTTTTCCCGATCAGGCAGTGAACTCGTTCGATCCAACATTGATAGTGAATTGGGCATCAAACTGAGTGAAGCGCAATTACATCGTGTGGATATTTTTGGTCGCAATAAAGCAATTGCAGGTAAGTTATAAGTTATATTCTTTGCGCTTCCATTCTGATTGGGAAGATCGTCTGCACATGCCTCCGATTCCTTTTGTGATATATGGGGTGGGGAGATTATCTGTATATGCCTCGCATCCACCGCTTCTCTTTGCTATGTGCACACCCTCATGTCCTTTAGTTCCTTTGGGATGAGTCGGGGGACTATCTGCGCTTTTCTCACGTCCCCCATTTCTCCTTGGAATTAATCTAAAGGCTGGCTGCGAATGTCTTACGTCTTTCGCTTCTCTTTGGGATGTCGGGAGGCTGCCTACGCTTTCCACGCATCCTTCACTTCGTTTTAAGATGAGTTGGGAGGCTACCTATGCTTTTTTCACTTCCACCGCTTCTCTTTGGGCTTAGTCCGAAGGCTATTTGCGCATTTCTCACGTCCTTTGCTTCCCTTTGGGATATATCGGAGTTATCTGCGTATGCCTCACGTCCTTCGCTTCGCTTTGGGACGCATCGGGAGGCTGTCTGCGCTATCACCACATGCTTCGCTTCTCTTTGTGATGAGTCAGGAGGCAGTCTGCGCATACCTTACGTCATTTGCTCCCTTTGCGGGTGTATCGTTGGATGATGGCTGTCTGCACATGCTTCCGATCCTCCGTTTCACTTGGGATAAGTTCAAAAGCTCTCTGTTCATGCCTCACGGCTTTCGTTTCCCTTTGGTATAAGTCGGGGGGTTGTTTGCACTTTCCACCCGTTCTTCGCTTTCTTTTGAGATGTGTCGAGAGGCTGCTTGTGCTTTACTCACGTCTTCCGCTTCCATGTGGGATGTTTCAGTGGTGGGTCTGTCTGCGCATACCTCACCTTCTTCGCTTCACTTTGGGATGAGTCGGGAGGTTGTCCGCCCTTTTCTCACGCTCTTCGCTGCCATTTGGGTGTATCGGGTGGCAGTCTGTGCATACCTCACGTCCTCCGCCTGCTTTTAGTATGAATCGGGAGGCTGCCTGTGCTTTCCTCACGCCTTCCGCTTCCCTTTGGTATGTATCGGGGGACTCTCTGCGCATGACTCACGTTCTTCGTTTCCCTTTGGGATGAGTCGTAAAGCTGCCTATGCTTTCCTTACGTCCTGCACTTTCATCTGGAATGTATCGGGAGGGGGCGCATGTCTCAAATCCCCCTCTTCTCTTTAGGATTAGTCGGTAGTCTACGTACGTTTTACTCAGGTCCTCTTGGTTTCATCAAACGCCGTTAGCTGACGTTAAGTCTATTAAAAGTCAAATATGTTCCGGCTTCTGCTCTCCCCTTGCCCCACGGTTTAATTAGGTTCCTGGTGAGGAAATTTAGTTTCCTCGGTTCACTGACAACTGAACTCTCTTCCCACCTTTCAATGCATGGCGCTCGCTCTTCCTAAACCTTCCAGTGATAAAGTAAGTACAAACTTTCCTTTGGTTGTTCCATCTCAGCGCAAGGCTGACTCGAGCTCGACCAGTCATATTCAACTCTCCAAGTATTTTGGTTCACCGCCGCTGTGGCCTGGTAATGAACTCACAACTCTTTGGGTTTCAATCGATTAAGGACACATGGCCCAGTGGATAAAGACGTTGGTTAGATCCATTGACTAGACCCAAAGAGTTGTGAGTTCAATACCAGCCCACAGCAGTGGTGAACCAAAAACTTGGAAAGTTGAGTTAAAGGGAAATAACTGAGACATCTGGCAGGAATACTGTGTAGAGTGACATATCAAGACTACTGGATACAGCAGACACCTGAAGAAGGCCGAGAAACACATTTGTTAAAATATTGTAATAAAGATGAAGATACTGGTTACAATAATGTGTAGAGTGGCATCTAAAGGCCACTGGATGCAACATGAAACAGAGGAAGGCTGAAGAATATATCGGGTGGAAGGTTGGGATAAAAACAACAAAGATGAAGATACTGGTGTGAATAATGTGTAGAGTGACATCTAAAGGCCACTGGATGCAACATATGCCTGAGGAAGTCTGAAGAATTGATGAGCTGAAATGTTAGGATAAAAACAACAACAATGAAGATATAGGCTTGATTAACGCGTCAACTGATATCCTAAAGCCCACTGGATACAACATTCACCCGGGGTAGAGCTAAAGACCTGTAGGCAGAAATATTGAAGCAATAAAGATTAAACCGAAAAAAAGGACATATTTATGTCGGTACTTCCAAATATACCATGATGAAAAAATGTCCCAAACTTCATAAAAATAAAGTTTTATCGTTAAAATGTTTATGTCGTTAAGAGGAAAGACCAAAGTATTTTTTTATTATTTTGTTAAATCTTCAATCCTTTGGTTAAAAATCTTGCTTTTTTGTGTCAACGGGTGGACCAAAAATTAGTATCAAGATTATAAGCTTCTTCTTTGGCGTTAAAACATTGTTTATAAATTCTTTCAAAAATCAAATAATTGTAGGATTTTGATGACATTTTCAGGACTTATACACAAATGAATTAAATTATTTTTGATTTTTTTTTTTTTAGAGAAACTTGGTAAAGATGCTTTTCTTTTTATATCTGTTACCCCGACTTAATTTTCTGAAATTTTGAGAAATTAAAATTTCAGCCTCTTCATATTTATATTAGTTAAAAGCAGACTTCTTGCAGAATTAAAATCATCAATTTGTTTTTGCCAAACAGAAACACCATTTACCGAAAATCTGCTCTGAATCGTAAAATAAAAAATACAATAAAACTATGACATTATTTAATTAGAAAAGAAAAAATTAAATTAGCTTTTGAAATACAGTAAAATAATTTTTTTGTTTATTGGAAATATTAAATTTGATCTATTAGCTTGAAATTAAAATTAAAGTAATATCTTCAAGAAAAATTTTTCAGTTTTAAAAATTCATTTCAAACCTTAAGTATCGCTTTTTTGGGTGTTTTCCCTATATTTATTTATATACAAATTGATTTTAAACGCGAAAAAGAAACAATGGGAAGATTTTACATTTGGGTCATACCTAAATTGTCACCCGACACATTGATAACATTAGACTTCATTTTGCATAAATATGTGTAATGTTTTGTTTGTTCTGCATGATTTCGGAGTCAGATTACACAGCACAATGATTAAATTACACGAAACCAACTAATCAAAATATTTCTGGCTTTATAGGACGATTTTCAACGTTGACTTCATTGAAGAACAACAGAGCAAATTCTACGATTTTGTTCCACTATCTTCTGCAATCTTTCAGTCAACTTCCAAATTCCATCCTACCACTACCTTTTTTTTACTTTTCGCAGCAAAGAACTGTTGCAGGAGATCGAAATTTATTTTTAATTAAGACCTTACAGCACCTAGCATTCCAAAACGGTCACCCATCTATATTCTGACCAGGCTCGATGTTGCTTAACTTCAGCGTAATATGGCCGTAAACTAGATGAAGAGGAAAGTTAAGGCAAGAAAATATGGTTCTACAGAACACATGCTGAATGTGTGGTCAACGAGGAAGGACACTTGTACTTAGAATCAAAAAAGAGACAGCTAGAATTTTGAGGAATCATAACAAGGAAAGAAAGCTTGGAGAATCTAACACTCACGGAACATACTGAAGGCAAGAGAAAATGCGATTAACCTACTTTGGGAGTTTGAGTGAACCGATAACAGAACAAGGACAAAGAGGAATGATAATGTGTCAAAGAGCAACAAAAGATAGGAAATTGTGGAGGGTATTGATCTCCTACGCCCTGAAAGTATTTGGCACATAAAAGAAAAAGGATCTGCCTTGAAAATGAGTCCTAACACTTCGCTTTGAATTCGAACACTTACCACTGGCGCCAAAATGTGAAACTCTAAACTAAGAGACATATCGAGAATGGTCTGGGCACCTCGGTGTGGTGTAATGGTTAGAAAGCTTGTCTTGCTAGATCAATTACGACTGAATCGTGAGTTCAATTCTCACTGGGTGGTCCATACTTCCGGTTTTTCCGCCATGTTCTTTCTTGGTGTTCCATACTGTCGGCTATGTACCGCATCTAAAATACGCTTAAAAATCACTATATCCGACGCGGTCTTAATCTTTTTTATAAATATTAAAAGAAAAAAAAAGGTCAAGTAAATTTGGGCGAAAAGGTAGAATAGTTCAATTCATTTGTTTCTAGCGTTCTCCAAACTTTACAGCACATCGGCGACATTGCATTATTTACATATTTCCACCGATATGAGAAAGAATAGAATACAATTCCAATGTCAGTAACATTTAATTTAAAAGAAGGCTCAATACAAAGTAGAGCAATATTATTTATGAAAAATTAAATCTTAATACTTCTTCGCTTAATTTAAATTTAACGTAGGTCAATTCGATTGGTTGGTCTAAGTAAAGCCCACGAACCTTATAACACCCCACTTTTTTTTTTTTTTTGTAAAAGAGGTTGTATTTTTGCTTTTAAATCTAAATAAATCGTTCACTCGCCAGTAATCGCCTGATGAGATGCATTGATATACATTGAAACACGACTGCAATTGTGTAGCGATTTTGACATGTTTTCGATGTAATATCCTAAGATAAAGAATATATGAGAGAACAAGTAAAAGAGGAATGATAATGTGTCAAAGAGCAACGTAAGATAGGAAGTTGTATTGAGCCTTTATATATATATATATATATATATATATATATATATATATATATATATATATATATATATATATATTATGGGCACGTCGCCAAATGGTTATTCTGACCATGAGACCTGGGTCCTAATCTCATCCTGATGTTATCGGACTGGAGGGGTTGATCCCAGCGTGCGACAAAAGTGCCTGAAAACCATACCATGAGTGAAATTGGGAAGACATAAACCTTGGGGGACGAAGTTGATCACGCTAGATAACACGCCCCTTCTTGCAGGTGTCTGCAATAGGGATTGGATAGCCTCCCTATTAGATGGGTATACTCGAATACGAGTAGCCAGCTATTATATAATAGCACGAAGGTAAAGTTTAAATTGGTATTTTAATTTAGATTGAAATATACTACCCCATTATTGATGATAA